CAGCCGGGTGGGTGGTGGCGGGAGGAACGGGTAAGACGAGAGAAGCGAGGGGGAAAGAGAGAGTCAGGTGGAGAAAGAGAAAGAGAAACGCGGCGACGCGCGTTTAGGCGGCAACTTCGAGAGCTTCGACGGAGATCATGCTCGCCATCGTACACCACGTACGGACGGCTTCATGTACGCGTGGGTGTTCGCGGATGATACACGCGGAGTGAGGCAAAGAGATCGAAAACGCGATGCCCGCGTTTCGGACGTCAGGATGGCGAAGGTACAGTGGAAGGCGCCGGCCGAGGGTCGCCGCCAGGAATCGCCGCGGCGTTCTGCGGAGGCGCCACCGTGGCTGCGATACCCCCCGTTCTCTCGCGCGCACCCTTCCTCTCGGTAGGGTTGGAGTTGGCGGTGCATTCTTATATGTGTGTTTGTACATATGCATGTGTGTGTGTGTTTGTACGTGTATGTGTGTTCCGTGTATTGTATGTTCTCGCGTACACGCAACGTGGTTCGACCGTGGTTGCAGCACGCTCGTGTAGGTGCGGACGGATACGTGTTTGTATGGGAGAGAGGGGTAAAAGGGTGGAAACCACCTTCCATTTCACCTCCCCCCGGCCCGTTCGTGCTGCTGCTGCTCGTGCGTGGGCTTTCGCGGCCATCGAAGTCGATATCCACCCCCGCCCCGACCAGTGGCTCTCGTATTATCCTCAAACGTTTCTCGGTCGCAGTCATTTCGGGGATTCCCGGGGGAGTCCCGATCCCCACCTCTATTCCCCTCTCTGCCGATTCAATCCTCTTTCGCCGTAGTTCACAGTCGTCATTATCGTCGTTGCCCTTCTCGTTCACCTGCATGTTAACTATCGCGGAGAAAGTCGTTTGCTCACTTTCGGAAATTTCTAAAGTTTCACGTGGCGGTAAAAGAGCGGGAAGATTTCGATATATGACAGTTCCAAAATGGTTTCTTCGACAAAGGATAACGCGCGGATTCATATGATTCATATATATTCGTCCCACCAGCAAAAATGTCAGGAAATTTATTTAGAGAATTGAATTCGTATTCTTGACAAAAACTTTGAAAAAAAAAAACAATTTTTCTCTTGAAATCTTTCAACGCTTTCCATTTCAGAAACTTTAACCATTTCTATTCTAGCGCGCTCCATTTTCGAAATAAGAATATACTTTTATATATTTTATATAATTTTGTATTACTGACATGTGTGTACAAAAATATGTACGTACAATGTAATACGCAAAATTCAATTATTTATTTTTTGCACAATAGCTTGATTTTACTTCTTAAAAATAAAATTTTAATTTTTGAGTTAAATTCGAGAACCAAATAAGCCAAGAATTCGGCTAGAGAGTAACTTGATAAAATTGGTACACATTGTGCATAAATAAGATTTGAGCTCGTTAAATTGCGAGAGCTTTCCAAGTTCATTTGATTCATCCGGTCGCAATGTCGAAGCTCTCCTCAGTTTTCGTAGTAAGTAATTAAGTTAACCGAACGAGAATATTATTGTAAATTCATCAGCAGTATAATTCAATCAACAAGATTCGTGCGCGGCAGGCTTATTGACGATTGTAAATGCAGAAAATAAATACGGACTAACAAAGAGCCTTCGGCAACGTTCCTACTTCTGTACATCACGGTTTTTGAGACATGTGACTTTCGACCAAATTTCCGTAATTTCCTCCATCAATTCCTAGGCAAAGAATTTTCCGAAAAGAGCTTCTGATCCCAAGTGCTCCGAGTAAAAGCAAATATTACGTAAAAGCGAAAAGCTGTTTGACCATCTAGTCTCTCTGCTTAGTAAACGTTGAATTTCAACATCCATAATTGAATGAAATTATCCTTCATTCATGAAAAACGTTTAGAGGTTTCTTATAATTAAAAACTCTTACAATTAAAAATTAAATATTACCAACATTGTAAACCACAAATTATTCGACGAAATGTGGAATTTGATAGCCATAACCGCGCCTAAACTTCCCTAATTTTCAGCATCAATGCTTGCTGAAGATATCTTCGCCGCAGGACATCCCGACCTCAGATAACCAATTCTCGACGCAACTCAGGGAATACCGTTCAGCCGACCCTAATCGAGCGATATAAACATGCAACAATATTTCCTCGCAAGCTTGCATCCTGCCATTAAATATGCTCGGTATTAATATTTCGTTTTTGAATATTTTTACACTGAGTACTTCCTGCATTTCTTTTTAATATTACGGTTTCAATGTTAACGAGATTAAATGTAAGCAAAAATGTACGTCCACCTCAATTAAACACAATAATGTAAATAATTAAATTAAATACAATTTTACACTGGCAAAAATTTTCATTTTCTCTTGGAGATGCTTGCAAGCTTACCCCCTAACATGATATCGAAGAACAAGAGAGAAAGGCTACGCCATCCTACGGAAGGCTTTTGAAGCTAAATATTCACGTTGCAAGCTGCAACGATTATAAAGCTTGCAACGGTCTTCTATATCGTCGGAGGTAAAAACTATGTTATCAACTTGACGGTGCGAAAATATAAAACAACTAGTAAAGACGCTCATCTTAACTGAGTAAGATACCGATTGGTGTTATTTAAGGTGTTATTTAATTTCTCAATTTGTTGCATAATTCACAAGTATTGTCAGAGATATTTCTAAAATTAATTCTTAACAAGCAAAATTTATAATATTTTACTCTATTTGTAACACAAAATCTAACAAAATATAGTAAAACAATGATAAGTAGCTTTGATAGAAATTATTGCTAATAATTCATTTGTCAACCATTTATAAAATAATGTTAAACTATCACCAACCTTGGATTGTGTTCGACGCGTAGTTCGGTGCGTAATTGCAGCAAATGCAATGCGTGGTACACCATAATACAGGTTTTCCACGATTTCTTATCAACAGGTTGTTACATGTTAAATTCTCTTGTCAATTCATAAAATTTAATTACTTCATAATGAATTATACGCAATTTAAAAAATACAAATTAAAATTTTCCAAATGTATATATATATATATATATATATATAATCACCGTCATGAAAAAGTACTACACATATTTTAATCTGCACAAAACATCTCTGCTTGTTTACAAGTTATTACATTTTAAAAATTGCACAACACTTTTTTAAGTTAATAATATTTAGTACAAATTTTTAAGTAATTAATCCATAATAAAATTAATTAAATATTATATATTATAAATTTTAAATGTCAGAACAAAATTATTTTATAATGAAAATTATTAGTTTATATCACAAAACATCGCGTTTTAATAATCTCGCAAATTTACCGAGAATCACAGCGATCTCCGGTAGGTCAAGAACGACTGATTGATTATGACACGAAACGATACGTACTAATCGCTCTGTAGTTAACCTAAAGAAGACCGTCGTGGTTGCGACTACTGCAGTAACGTATCGACGCGACAAATAAAAATAGAAATAATTTCCACGAAATCACATTCTACTTATTTATATCTTTTACAGAATATGAAAACTTCGTCAATAATAAACCGATATCAGATTCCGCGAACACAGCCTTAAGATAAGGACACCCCATACATTCCCTGCATCATCGAGTCTTTCAATTATCGAAGGGTTATAACTAGTTGGCGAAGAGTTAATCGCAGTCTTAGCGCATTATTCTCAATGACAGATACGATAGTCAATAATTCAAAGCTCGTTATAAACATATCATGAAGTGCGATCAATTCATACCATAATGGCTCAATGGGCGGCATGAATAGTAAGCTGCATTTGTATTCGCTACGAGCATTAACAAGCGTATTCTACCCTCGTACCTGCTCCTTTTGTGGAAAGCGAGGAACAAAGGAGAAATCGCAGATACATAATAGCCACTTTAGACTCTACCTAAGAAAGAAGAGAATATTAAACGACAAATCGGGCGTACTTCTATTCACGCTGTCCATAAATAGTCGAACAAATTGATTTTGTCGGACTCCGTCTACGGCGCTTGCAAATTCACATGTTTTTCCTGAAGTCTGAAGATGGGAGTCTGTGCAAACTTTTTTTCATTCATAAAACGATTTCAAACCAAATTCTAATATCTCGTCAATTTCAATCGATAAATTTATTTCGGATAAAATAATGTGAAGATCGAGAATTCTTAAATCTCGGATTATATTATTTATGACTTTATATGTGCCGCTTACAATCCTTTCGACATTTTACGTGTTTCACGAACAGCTTTTGAGAGAAAATTGTTTGAAAGCTCCAGGGTATAAAAGCTACTGCTGTCAGCCCTGTGCACCTTCCAGCATGTATCCAGTATAGTTTATAAAGGCGCTTAAAGGGCTTCCAAATGCTCAGAAACGCGAGATGTAAATTGACGTGTATAGAGCATACGCTTATACAAAGATGCCTTAGTCGCGCGAATTCGGGTAACCTTTATACAAACGCCAATGATATTGTCAAACATTCATATAGCAACATAATATAACAACAGCTCTTAATTCTCATTGTCAAACAACTCCAAAATTAAATCTCCTTCAATACTATGAAAGCTACCTTGAAAAATTTATTTCGAATTTGTCGAAGAATCTACTTTTAGCACTGCTTCCTACGTTTTACGAAGTTCATATAATTGCTCGGGATCGTTACGTGTGTCATCTATTTGCTGTATTTCTCGCCAGACCCATACACCTGAACACGAGCTGTATTAATAGCTTTCGTAATTAATTATTTATAGCAGCGATGGTTGCACCAGCGTTTTCGTACCCTGTACCGTAACAAGCTTATTCACCGATTATGGTGGGATGTTGCTAACGTCATTCGGAATATATCGGGATTTTCTCGCA